ACTTTTTTAAATATAACTACATTAAACACTTGAAAATGGCCATGCAGGCCCGGCCCTAACCAATTTGGCAACCTAGGCAAGATTTCAGGTGGCGCCCTGTCACATCGCAGTAAATTCCACTGCTAGTGTAATGTCAAAAGACAGCTCAAAAAGACAGCTTTTTGAGGGACTACTACAAGCTGGGAAAATGTCAGATAAATATGCCAATGCAATTAACATTATTGCTGAATAGATCTAATATTTACACATTTGCTTAAGGAAGGAATGATGGGGTAGTTACATTAATATTGCTATTTTCCAAAACATCTATGCCCTTCCGTAACATTAGCTGACGTAAAACTAACAGATAACATTGCTAATCATTAAATAGCTATAGTGCTATGTCATATCTATCAACATTGGGATGTTAAAATATGGGACAACAAATAGCTTCAAATGATAGAATACATAGCAAACAATTGAAAATATTGACAATAAAATAAAAGGTTTAACCTATTAAAATCAATGGCCTATACAGAAATTAAATAAAGCTATAAAATCTATTTAACTTTTAATTGTATTTGCTATTTAGTGAAGAGCAGCAAATGAATCTCTCATTGTGTTTTGTTTGATAACAGAGGTGTTAATGTAAGAATTCACAGATCTATAATGAATGAATGAATGAAGCATTCGACTACTTTAGTAACTGTTGTGCTCATTTAAGAGAAAATTAGTTGTGTTTAAAATAAAACAAGCAGAATAGAGCAAAAAAAAAACAAAAAAAAAAGAAGCACTTTTCCGACGGTCCCTTACGGAGAGCTCCACTCCGTGCGAGCTCAGCTCTCCCGGCTAAACGCATATCCCAGGCTAAACGGAGCAGTGCTCTTAATATCGAGCGAGGAAAAAAAAAGAAAAAGACAGCTGTGAAACATAACAAGCTTTGTATTCTTGTAAGAAACACACTTTAGATCTTTTTAGGGTAAGAGGTTTTTGAGGTATTGCCATCTATCACTGAATGTGTGTCAGGAATATTAAAAACAAAACCAACTTATCCCCGCTCATTTCTGGCGCCCCCTGGATGTATATCGCCCTTAGCATTTGCCTATACTGCCTATGCCACGGGCCGGCCCTGTGGCCATTTGTTTGAATAGATACTTGAAGTGCTACAAATATTGAAAGTTCGTATGGAAGCATTGTTTTCCACAGAAAGGGCAAAAGTACACAAACCCATTACTCAAGTAGTAGTGCAGATACTCATGTTAAAAATGTTTTGCATGTTTTAGTTGCTATTTACACAACAGACTTTGTAGGTGGAAAAACTGAGCATTTCACTAGCAAGAAAACAGTTAAACAGAGCATCTACAGCATGAGAATGAGAGATAAGCTTCCTCATTATTAACTTTCACTTTCGCTCTCGTGGATAGGGAAACCTTGTACACAAAGACATCAATTAGCCTATAAATAATTATTTTAGTTTGTTAAGCGCAAAGATTTGTTTCAAAACTTTCTAAATTCAGTTCTGATTTCCAGCAAACGAATAAATAAACAATAATAACGAAGTGTGCTCAAAAACCTGAGTTATATCCAAATACACATGCTGTGCCCCATATGGTCTTAAACCTGACAATTGGGCAAATCTAAGCTTGTTTTTAATAAAACAAATATAAATATGCATATAATAAATAATACTGCTAATAATAATAACATCATACAAAAGCAAATTGTCTTGAATAAACTAAAAAACCCCTGAGATGAAGAAGGCATTAAAGTATGGTTTTTATATTTATGTAGGCTAGAAAATAATATGTATTGTAATATTTTAATCCTTTATATTTATATCCTATATATCCTTATTATATCCTATATATTTCCTTAATATTTTAATTCTTTTGTATATTTAAAGATATTTGCGTATTGCTCTACATCTTGTGTACATTAAGCAGTGTGTAAGCTAGGTGCACAACTAACGCGCTCTACGCTGGACTTTAAACCGGCATTGTTGGGGTCTATAAAACAAACTAATATAGTGTCTTTAAATAGCAACGCACCAGCAATGTGCCTCAACATGCCTTCTTTTTTAGATCAGAACGCCTATGGGTGCACATATGAGCTCAAATGCATTTGCTATTTAAACAGCGTGTAGGGCAAAACGTCAAAACGACTCTTGCGCCAAGCTGAAACTAACAAACAACTATTGCGTCGCACCTTGCGCCACATTGCGCCCGATGCCCTAAGTGTTAATTTTTTCTGTGGGTCCACTCTGAGGTAGTTGGCTTCATGGTTTTGGGTGATAAAAAAAGAAAATGACAAAAAAAAAAAAAAAAAGACTAATGGAGAGACCTGACACCAAAGGGTCATAAAAGTTATTTTTATTTGTCTGGTGTTCTTTTATGTTGCAGCGTTGTCCCTTAACCAGGGTTCTAACAATCCTGTCTCTTTTGTTTACCGGTGATCTGATCAAGCAAAATGTGTTTTATTATTACCATGTAAACGGCAGCAACAGTCATGTTAAAATCGCAGTCTCCCTCTGTCTCATCTGCTTAGTCATCCTTGCCCTTCTCATAGTAATCTTTATAAAATAGCGTTCAGTGCGTGATAGCCTGGGTTGAAAAAGCCGCACACTGCAGAATGCAGGCAAGCAATGACGAAAATAGACTAATTACATCAAAAAAGCGTTCGTATTATTGCGCAATGACAAGAAATAATATAGATCGTGCCACCAAACACATGAAAACGTGAGTAACGAGCCTGATTTCAAAATGTAAGAAGTAGAAAGTCTAGGTATTTATGTAAAAATGTGAGAAGTAAAAGTAAAAAGTTGTCAGAAAAGTAAATAGTGGAGTAAAGAACTGATACCAGAAAATAGTGTATTTGTACTTCCTATCTCTGGTTTTCCATAGTCTAATCAGTCTGACTATATATTTTTATAATTTAAATACAGAAATATTTGTTAAAGAGCCCATATTATACATGAAATATAGTCATATCTTGCTTGTAAGGGCCTCCAACAACAGTTTAATATGCATGCAAGGTCAAAAAACACTTTCGTGGTCTTATAATCTGCATTTATTTTTACCTAATTATCCCAGCGACTCCCGTATGAATCGTTCATTGATTCATTTGTTCCCAAAACCCTCCTTAGCGCGAAGCTAATCTGCGCTGATTGGACCAATGACAGTCTGTTGCGATTGGTCGACTGCCTTCAGTCAGAGAGTGAAATGCCAAACAGCTAATCAGCAATATAAAAGTAATCACAGTTCATACTGAGCAAAAACTCCAAACACAGTTGAAGAGATCTCCTAGCTTCTCACTCTGCTCTTTTCACAGAAACACACACACATATTGCACACACACAGACACACACACACGCACTTAACCCTGCGCGCGCGCGCACACACATACACACACACACACACACACACACACACACACACACACACACACACCTCCGGACGACAGCGCGCGCACACACAGACACACACACACTACTCCTCGTCCACGGAGCTCCGTTAACAAAGCAGCACGTGTCGCGTTTTTAACGTGACTTTGCACGCGATAAGAGAATATAGCATAGCCAGTTAACCTGATACAGTAGCTACACGCGGTTACAAGTAACAAATCACAACTAAATACATTTGCAAGCTAGAGTCAACGAGGCAACTTTAATCGCACGTACTTACACTTGAGAAATGGAGGAAGAAAAATCCATCCTGACGTCCATCAGTAAGTTACTCTTTACTGATCCTTCCTTTAACAAACGCTGATGAAGTATTCTTTGTAGCATGTAGTTTCCAGAAGTTTCCAGTAGTTTCCAACTGCTTGGCTAAAATGCTGAGGTTTCATCTTTGGGTAGAGACTCAATATATCCATCTGCAGTGTGACTTCAATCGACCGGCATGTTTGTGTGTGTGTGTGTTTGTGGGTGTGTGTGTGTGTGTGTGTCTGGGTTTCTGCGTCAGAGGGCGGGGCCTCAGGTTTGAAATCTCCCGGGTTTGCGCGTGCACGTGAATAACTTGGTTTCGTTCGTACGTCATGGCGAAACACCTAATGAATCGGTATCAAGGCGACTCGTTTGAAGCACTATGAGTCGACTCTTTTATAGATGAATCAACAGTTTTAAACACTGTATGCAAACAGATTTAAGCCTTAGCTGGATACTTCACTTCACTTAGAGCTGTGTTACACACTACATGGAGGGGAATTTTCAAAAACCTATAATATGGGCTCTTTAACTATTCACTATAACTTATATGTATTTAACATTTTCGTTACCACCCATTTAACCGGTTTACACTGTAATTATTATTAGAATAAAGGGTATTTTTTATTTTCCTAGTATGGTTTATTCACAATTTCTTAAATTTTGCTACAATGATTTAATTTTTTTCTAAAAATAAAATAAGTCTTTATAAATCGTTTTCTTACTTTTTTCTCTACATCAGGCCCTTTATTGTAGTCTCTCTTTTTTTTTTTTTTTTTTAAAAAGCAGTTCTTAAAGCACATCTTAGCATTTCTTTGCTATGTGATGTGATCTCCAGAAACCGCATGTGGGAAGTGGTGTGTGTAAGAGATAAAGCAGTGACTCTGCATGGATTCAAGCTGGCCTTTACTCAGCGCCTCTGTGCTTGCTGGCTTATGCTAATGAAGTCATCAGCCAGCTAATGAGCCAAAAAGCCTTTAGAGACACACCAACATCTCTATGGGCGCTTTGGTATGACTCTTACAATCCAACATCCTGTCGCCCATTCCATTCACTCAACCCTTAATACTTCTCTAACTTCACAATGTCCTTCTTAAGTCCTTGAATTTTTTTTTTCACCTCTTACGTTCATTATTTTCCTCCTGTTGGTTTAAGATTGATACAGTCTGACAGAGAGTGAGGATGAATTGATTGGCAGCTGTCAGTCAGAGGTGCCTTGTTGCCTGTTAAACGCTGTGGTGGGGTGTTTAGGGTTTGTACGCTAGTTTGACTGATTTTGGGATAAAGTTGACTGACGTTTGCTATGTGATTTGATTGGCAGGTATGATGTTAGGGGGAGGATGTGGAAAAGAGCTGGCTCACTGGATCATTCACGGCCGTCCAGAGAAAGACATGTATGGATATGATATCAGGTACGTTTATTAAGAGCAAATGTGGTATTAATTTACTGACATTTAGATGGAGCAATCTGAAAATGGGAATTTTAATATTTTTTATTGGATCTGACACAAATGATTATTTGCAGTTGAGTGAGTCAAAGACATTTCTGAAAGAGTTGCGGAGTTGTGTTTGTTTCGACTGCTCACATTTGTGTGTTTGGGAATGGATCGTGCCAGCCATCTTTTCAAACTTGTCATGAGAAGCACTTGGAAAACAGCTGTTCCACTGTAAAAAAAATGGAATGTTAAATAGTCAGGACAACAAATATTTGTTTGTTGCTTTAACTTAATTTAATAAATTAAACAACATTTTTTTTGTTATAAAAAGTTTAACTTGATATTTTAATCAGTTTGAATGATGTAATTTGAGATGAATAGATAAATTAAAATGATTCAACTTTAAAAAATTAGGAGCAATTCTTTTGACAGTCAGTGAAATAAATTCAGAGTACTAGCATGAGGGATTTGTGTTTGCATAGTTGTTTGTACAGTTGTACATTTTATAATGAAATGATTATATCTTTCCAAAATGCTCAGTAAATTATTTATTTATTTTACAATAGAGTTGTATTTTTTTATATTTCAATATTTTGGAGGTGAATAAAAAATCCCCCCTTAATCTATAGTGTTTTGTATCATTAACCGATTTGAGTGTCCAGAAAAAATGTATAAATGTAACAAAATGTTGAAAAATAAATTACTTTACTATAAATTTACTATAAATTTAATAAAATTTACTCTAGATAATACTTATGATACTGTTAATTTACTGTTAAAAGTACTATTATTTCTTAATTTTTTAAATTTTACTGTAGAACTTTTTTATTCTTTATTTTAAAAGCTTTATGGTTTAACTTTTGAAAAGGAAGAAATTAAGTCGGCGGCACGGTGGTGCAGTAGTGGTTCTGTCGCCTCACAGCACGAAGGTCGCTGGTTCGAGCCCCGGCAGGGTCAGTTGGCGTTTCTGTGTTGAGTTTGCATGTTCTTCCTGTGTTCATGTAAGATTCCTCCAGGTGCTCCGGTTTCCCCCGCAAGTCCAAAGACATGTGGTACAGGTGAATTGGGTAAGCTAAATTGTCTGTAGTGTATGTGTGTGAATGAGTGTGTATGGATGTTTCCCAGTGATGGGTTGCAGCTGGAAGGGCATCCGCTGCGTAACATATGCTGGATAAGTTAGGTTCATTCCACTGTGGTGACCACAGATTAACTAAGGGACTAAGCCAAAAAGAGAATGAATAAATGAAAGAAGAAATTAAGTCATAAATATATATTCTATAATTAAATATTAGTATTGGAGTTTTAGTTGCAATTTAAATTCTTTTTATTATACAGTCAACATTATGCAACCTAGGCAATTTTACTCTAATGTACTGTTAGGGATGTTTTCATCCACTCTGGGGTGATTTTAAGTCTTATTTTAAGTCTCCATAACTTTTTCTGTGTTTCAGCTAGCAGATCGATTTTTGGTGACATCTTATTTTGATACGTTTTGTAAAAATGCTTTGAAATCCAATTAAATCAAAAACAATCAAAATTGCATAATTAAATGGTGTCATGGTATCGCAATTAAAAATGTGGTTATAATAGAAGTCAATAGAGCAAAAACAGTAAATTAGAGAAATTTTTTAAAATTCTTATGCTGCACAAAAACAATGCATAAAAAGCCAATGATGTTACTAATCATTTACATGTCCAAGACTGTGATTAAAAGTTTTTTTTTTTTAATTCAGTCCACAGTTAAATTCTTTTATGTTGAAAAACGTGTATATATATATATATATATATATATATATATATATATATATATATATATATATACAGATGTTACTACTTCAATGTGTTCCTCGTGCCGCCATTCTTACTGCGGCGACGGCGGTACTTGATGCGCCAGCAGCATTTGACCGCTGGGTGGCACTTTAACCACAGATATTCAGCTTTGCCTTTTCAATCATCAAAAGACAGGTAATTTAATTACTTTCGATGTGCTAAAATATTTGTTAAATAAATGTTATTTCAAAAAAAGAATATGCAATGTGCTCTGACAGGTAAAATCCGATTCTTTCTCTCTTTCAAGCAAATTTGAATGCCAAAGGATTTTAGATATGCATATACAAGACTACGTAGTATATTAACATCAACAAATTAATAAAATAAGTAGCAAATGAGAAATAAATGACAGACAAGTTTATAAAAACAGACATTATCTCTAATGGTTATCAGAATTGCAAGATTAAAACAGCTGAATATAGGCTTAAAATAAATCTAGAAAGCAACTACTGTGCGCTGATATTTATTCTTTTTTTTTTCGTTCTTCACATGTTGCCACTCGGCACATCTTGCTCTCCATCTTTAAACAAATGTTTACATTATTGAGGTGCTCTCCGGCGGCGAAAGTTCTGGCAGAGTAGCGAGTGAAAAAATGTGCTTGCAGAAATTGGAATCAAAATTTAAATTATATAACAAGACTCGTATTCTTTCTAATCCTCGTTTTAATACAAGTTGTGTTTTTTATATTTGTGGCTGTGAAGTTTATTAAGAATATATATATACATTATTTTTATTACACTTTAAGTGATCTGCTTGAGGTAGGTCACGTTTATCAATGGTAAGTTTTAGCCTAAGTTTACATCAATAACATAATGTGCATTGTCCTTTACCATACAAAAAAAAGAAAAAAAAAAACATGATTATACACCATAGTAGCCTGTAGCCTAAAAAAAGGCCGCAAATATTTTTAAATGCATTAAAAGGCAAGCGCATATCTTAGCCTTGAGTTTGTTCACATTCTGCCTGTATTAACATAAATGCTGTATTTTAATACAGCTTATTTTCATCAATTAGCTCTAACCTTTGACAGCTTTTTCTTCTTTTTCCGCGGTTATGCGGCATTATATTTCACACACATATGCAAGGTGACTGAATATGAAGTTAAAATACAAAACATACTGAGCCATTAAGTAAAAAAACAAAAAAACAAAACAACAGTTATAGCTACTTTAAAGGAGAACATTGACGTTTTGAAAAAAAAAAAAAAACTGAACTGAACTGAAACTAAATTATTAAAAATAAACCTGCGAGACTTAATTTATGTCCTGCGGCAAAAATATTTTTATTATATTTTTATTATACTTTTAGTGATCTGCTTAAGGTAGGTCCATTTATTTTTTCTTTTGATGAAGCAGCATTCAACTTAAGCTCTTTAGACCATGCTGCTGACCGTACTGTACGGCAATGTCTTTAAATAAATAATTTATTTAGGCCTATTTTCATTATTCATTTATTTTTATTATTCGTTTATTATTATGTACAATTGTTGAGACATAAATGAGATAGTAAAATATAACCAACAACGAAAATGGAAATAAAAACAGAAATAAAACATAAATGAAAATGTCTTGTCTTAGTCCTATCAAAATAGCAAACACTGAACATCTTTCTATATTTAGGCTGCTTTATTTATTTATTTATTTAAGACTACTTATTTGTACTAAATGTTTGTGCTTTCATTTTGTTTGTCTTTTACTTCTTCAATACTATTTTTCAAAACTAATCCTCTTTGCACTTAAAAAGTTTACAATAAAGCGTGTTAACAAATTTTAAACGATTAATGAAGGAATTATAATGCTTTGACTTATTGTTTAATATCATTTACAAACACAGTAGCTGCTGTATGGGCTATTTCTGTCCGTTCGCATCCCGTCCCTTTGCACTCCCTGGCGGCTCATTCACAAACTGCGGTCATACACTAAAAACACAGCGGCACCTATTTCAAACGGCGGCGGTACATGCTGCGGCCTTAATAGCCACTTTGAACTCTCACCTACTGTATATATATATATATATATATATATATATATATATATATATATATTATCAAGTCAGCTATATCATTTGTGAATTTAGCAATTAAAGAGAAAAATCCTGTAATTTTTAAAAACATTTAGTAGTTTTGATCAGGACTGAGGTTGATTAACAGATTTCTGCAAACAAATGTGAAAAAAATATTTATCTGACGCATTTTTACAGAAGTTTAATTTCGTGGATGTTTTCATCCCTAACATAACAAAAGGGTAGTCAATTTGAAAAGGAAAAATACTTTACAAACACTGCACTGGGCTTTAATAGTCACAGGTTTTGGTCGCGTCTGTGAAAGGATCGTCATGACAGCAGCTCAGAATGTCAGATAGAGGTATTATGAAGGTCAGGCACAATCACGGAGGGCAGCGAACCTGTACTGTCCTGTACATTCCTGAATGAGCCTTCAGACTTTTCATCTGCCAATTTTTCATACTGTCATTTCATCTGCTTTTGTCTCTATCTCAGGCGCTTCCACCATTCGCTGACCAACAACAACCGTTGGATCAGAGAGAGAAGTCACGAGTCCTATGCCAAAAACTATTCAGTAGTTTTCCCGTTTGATGAGCCTTTGGCAAGCCGAAACATGAGGAAAGACCCCTTCCATCAGGTTCAGCACTTCTCTTACTTTCAGAACTTTCGCTTTGTTCCCTGATGAAGCATTGGCTGAAGTCCTCACTTTACTTTCCAGTATTAACAGATAGCATTTAATATACATAAGGAATAAAAATTCGGAAGGCTCTTGGCCAAAAACTGAAACTGAAAAATGCTTTGAATTCATTGTTATTTTATTTAATAAAATATAGTAATTTTGTAGATCTTTTTAACACTTAACTTTCAAATTATACAGATTTTTACAAAACACAAGCTAATACAATAACCACATTTTATTGATATAAAATATCAATCAGCACATCAGCCCTATTGAAAGCAGCAGGAACAAGTATACTACATAGAAATGTTCTGTCAGTGCAGTGCATTTCATGCTCTACAGCAATGGTCTCAAACTCATTCCTGGAGGGCCGCTGCTTTGCACAGTTTTGCTCCAACCTTATTCAAGCACAGCTGATCCAAATAAATGAGGGGATCAAAACAGTCTTGAACACGTTGATTCGTTGCATAAACTGTGTTTGATCGGGCTTGGAGTAAAACTGTGCAGAGCTGCCGCCCTCCAGGAATCGAGTTTGAGACCTATGCTCTATAGAGTGAAAGATTGGGCTATGTTGTTGATCATAGTCTGTCATAGTAATAGTTGCTGCTCTTTTGCCATTGCGCATTGCAAACCATTAAAATCAGGGCTTGACATTAACACCCTCCAAATGCAGAATTAATTAAAATTGCAGAAGAGTAAGACAGGACAAAAAAAAATTACCATTATACGTGCGTGTGTGCGTGCGTGTGTGTGCGTGTGTGCGTGTGTGTGTGTGTGTGTGTGTGTGTGTGTGTGTGTGTGTGTGTGTGTGTGTGTGTGTGTGTAGTCAGTCATCTGACTAGGCAAGGTGTGGCATCAATTGGGGCAGGACCAAGCCAAGGAGCAATTAGCTGCTTCTTGCAGAGAGAACAAATATACAGAACACTTCCCAAAAATAAGTAAAAGAGCAGAATTAATACATAACAACAGTGTTAGCTTCTGTTTTGTATATATATTAAAAAATACCCCACAATTATTTCCAGTTATGTACATCCAGTTTTCAACAAATTTAAGGTAAAAAAAAAATCACCCTATAAAGAAAATGGTCCTTAATTCTTATTGATTTTATGCTGAAATATGACCAGAACACGTTAGACACGAGGCCTTTTTTTTGCTGTTAGCGCTGCTTTTGCAGTCATCCTAATTAGCTTCATCAAGAGAATAATGAAGTGCCGCACTAATGTCAAATAAATGTGTCTTCATCTTTTCCTCTCCTCTTTCTCACTCACTCTCGATGCCTATCTTTGTCACTTTAAAATCACTTGTTCTGAGGCTAAAAACTTTCCACTGGCCTGATCCCAGAACAAATTGCATTAATTACATCAAAGCGTCATCTCTTTCAACATTAATCACCATTTAAATTGACAAATTTTTACAACCTGTTACCTCAGCTTTCCCTCAGCTAGCCAGAAGTGTTGAGTGTGGATGTATTAGCCAGTGCTCGACTGCCAGCATCTGTGCAGACGCTCAAAAAAAAAAAAAGACTTGTTGCTAAGCTACTGCTAAAAAGACGATGTTTAAGTGTTTCCAAAAATACTGCTTTGTTCTGGCGAGGCTCCAGGCGTGAAGCCTTCATCCTTGTGAATAATAGCCCACTGAAATATAGATAGCTAGCAATAATAACACTCTGTGTTCATTTAAACCACCGAGCCTCCGCTAGATGATTATAAATTAGACTTTCCTCCTGAATTTTTCAGCGCTTTCCAACTTGGACATCTTCCTGAGCTAATCCGGCTAAGTGCGAGATTGATACTAAAACATAAAGAAAATACTTAACTGTCTTTCATCTAATCTCAGAACTTAAGTCCTCACCCCACGTTTATGTCAACGTGTCAAAATGATGAGGATTACTTTGTGTGCTAGAACATTTGTCATCATTTATTCTGTCTCATTAAAAACCAATGTGTTTAGTTATGTAAAAAAGTACTGGCAGCTCATTATCTGTTCTTTCTGCACTGTTTTACATGACCAGTCAAGACCATGTATTACTTTAAATGACTTGAAATGTTAGTGAATACCACTTTTGTTTTAAACTACATAGAAACATTGTCAGAGCAGAGATCAGGATATCAAAATACAATTTGAAAGATTAATTAAACAAAAAACACCCATAAATTACAAACTACAGACGATTTCTGTTCAAATGCAGTCCTATAGCTGTTATTTAAAACACTTTTTACAATATGTTTGATTTTTTTCTGTAGAACTGAACATTTTTCAATTCAAATAAGTTGTCGAAGCAGAGATCAAGTGTCACGTTCAGAGAGGGGAAAAAGGAGCGAGGACTCAGGTGCAGCAAATAATGGGTGTTTATTAACAAATAAAATAAAAACAAAAAGGCAAAACAAACAACCCTGAGGGGGAAAACTCTAATAAAACAAATAAACGAACAAACAAACTTGAATGGACTGGCAGGACTGGCAGGACAAGACAGGGCTGGACACAACAAGACAGGAAACTATCGACGACGAACTGGCAAAGGACTGAAAACATGAGGGGGATTATAAAGCAAAAAGTAAATTGACACACAGGTGAACATGACAAACTAATAATGAGTAAACAAGGAGGGAGGGACTAGACAATAGACGGGAGAGCGCATGACACAGAGAGACAATACAAGCCATGCGCTCACATAACACAACACTGAAGCACACGACAAAAGCACGTGACCACAATGTAAACACCGAGCCACGTGCTTTGACAAAAGACGCAAGACACAAGCACACGATGAATGAAAACACTCACCGTGCGCTCACACACGCAGCGTGCATGCTTTATCTCAGCGCCGACCAAAACCGAAACCAACAAGACTGAGACGCTGGGAATGAAACACCACGCTGCTGACAGACGAAAACACAAACGAGTACAAGAGCGCACGCGTCTGAGGGACGGCGCGCGCGCACACAGAGACAGAAACAGGACCAGACATAGGTAGTGTCAGAGCTCTGCCACCAAAACAAGAATTTACACGACCAGAGTGGCAGAACCCTGACATCAAGGTCCCATATATTGCAATCTGAAAGTTTATATAAACAGAACTCACTCATAAATTGCAATCTACAAATTAATTAAAGAGTTCAGATGCAAAAATCTCTACGTGCCATCTGACATTTTCATTAACACTTTATTTTAATGGTCTATATTGCACGTTTTGTTGACTAAAACTTACATGCAACTACAATGCAATTACTTCTCATTTGAGTATTAGTAGAATGTCTGCTTAATATCTGTTGATACTGCTCCTTCAACAGACTTTTAACTGACTATAAGAAACTTTGCTAGTACGTCATCTTACACTAACCCAAACCCTAGTCTACTTATAATGTAATGAGAATTAGTTGACATGTAGATACAATGTAACTTAAATTCAACAAACAGACCATCAAAATGAGATGATGCCAAATTTTATCTTAGAATTAGCATTTCTCCTCAGCCTCCAATATTTTTGTTCAGTTATTTCACTTAAAAGGCAATGCAGAGAACCTATTTTTTGCCATATAAGTGGATTTACTGAACGTACACGCAGGAGCTTGTGAAAAATGCTATGTAATGCTATAAAACATTTGTAATGACTTAATGCAATTACTAATTAAGAAGACTGCAATATAATTAGAGGGATCGTTCACCAAAATAAGAAAAGGAAGAAAAACATACATGCAACATGTATGTTCTAGATGTACAGGTAAAACAAAATGAATACTTGTGACTCCTCATCATACACGTATGATCATTTTGTGCAAGAAACTGAACATTATTAAAACATTTTTAGCTTTAATCCACACCCTCTACAAACACTTCTGAGATAAATTTGCATTAATTCTCATTTTACATTACAATTACTTCTAGTATGCCTGGGATGATTTTGTTCAGAAGCGAATTGTTAAAATTTTCTTTTTTGATTATATATTTTATTCACTAGTCACAATTTAAATATTTTATAGTCAAATTGAAGACAAGATGTGTTTGTTGCTATATTTTCAGACCAGTGCAACATTAATTTTAATAACATTAAAATCCAATTTTGTGCCACGTTTAAATAGCAAATCAATTTGAGCCATTTTGTGAACTCATTGGTGTGCTGGTCTACAAAGGAGCTGTGTGAACTGAAATAGTCAGCGCAGTTGACCAACTAAAAGCTGGTCTAAAGTCCAGCGCAGAGCGCATTAGTTATGCACCTATGCTGGTCCAAATGCTTAGACATTGCTTAATATACACAGGATGTACATCAATACACAAATATCTTTACATGTGAAACAAGTTTAGATTGGTCCACCTGTCTGCTTTTTGAAACGTATGCATAACTATATAGGGTATAAGAACAGGACGTGTGTTCGGACATATCTGTTTTTTTGACCACACTTTATTATTTTTCGTTTATTCCTTTGCTGGAAATTCGAATGCAGGTCGCTTCTTTGCCCTCTTGCAGATGGTCTGTTTAACTATTTTCTCGCTAGTGAAGCGTTCAGTTTTTCCACTTACAGAATCTGCCATGTAAATAGCAAATGTGCCATGGCTGGCTCTTAAAGGGCATGACAGATGAGACTATAAATGGTTTAATGCATGATATGCTCAAAACGCACCCATTACTCATTAAGACAATAAGCACAACCCTGTTAGACAATGCACCCTGGTGTAAATTGTATTTTTCCATTCTTAAAATTGCAAAAGCGGATTCGGACACACCCTAATGCTTTTACACCATGAGCTTTAGACTTTGCAATTGTAAAAATAGAACGAGAAAAAGCTTTTCCCAAAGAGTTGAAAAGATGACATAAAATAAAATTTGAATTTTCATCAAGTTATTTTATTGTTTAATAAAACCACCCAATTACATAATTTTTGAGAAAATTCACAATTGTTTCATATTGCAATGAATATCACACAGAATAACTACATTTTAAATATATATATTTTTTTAATACAACGTAGCCCTCTGTGAAGGATTTGACAGTTTTTAAGTACTTTTTGTGCATTTTGTTATCTACTGGCGATTCTGTACCGTATGAGGATGAGTAATCCATGACAGAATTTTCATTTATAGGTGAGCTTTTCCTTAAATTCTAGCTTTCTGTTACCAACAGCACATGATAGGCTCAAGATAGCTGTTGAGCAAACCTTGACAGGTCCTCTTCCCTTTTAGAAACTTTCCATTCCTCCTCAACATCTACCTAAGTGTGTGTGTATTTTGACACATATTTCTAAAAATTCCTCTGTTAAGTAACAGCCTGGACAACATGTACCCGAGTGGCTCATTGGCATGGCAACAGCGGCTGATTTAATTCCTGCAAATCATATTTTTAGCTTGGGCCTGTAAAAGAACACCAGCATTATCATTATCAAAAACAATAAATAATAGCCTGTTTCATGCCGGATAAGACGAGCCGCTGCGCGTGACTCATGGAGAGATCGTCAGCTCATACTTTACTCCATGAGAATAATGTGGGAACTTCAGAAACCCTTGGTGGAGGATGGCAAATTGTCTGGCAAGCCGTGTTTCTATGGCCTGAGATGTGAAAATGTGGTGTTGTGTGGGGGGACGATTGCTTTTTTTTGGTTTTAGAGCTCAAGAATAGCTTGAGAAATCGTGACGGGTTATTTTGAGCGGGTGGGAAATGAAATCACGAGGGAAGGATAGCACATCTAAAACTGGTTTCAGGGGAAGTTAATTCTGATCACAAAGGGATGATGCAAAACATTCATGTAAATGGGGTCTGAAAAGTTTGTAACTTGCCCACATTTTACCACCTTGAAAGTTTAGTAATGTAAACACTAATGTGGACGAATAGTTACTAAAGACCATCTACTGACCTAAAATGTGATCATTATGGGACGTGTTGTAAGAAAGCACACCAAAACAAATGGATTCATAAGTAAAACTAGTCACCTTTAATTTTAGAGTGCCTTACACAATGTACACTTTCTCAAAGCTGCTTACAAGGAGGGACAAGAAAAGGATGACAAGTCAAATACCATTTCATTAGGAAATATTCATAGGCACAACAACCATTGTTATTCTGTAATTTAATAGATATTTCATCCCCACACATACTGGCCTATACATGCCCCAAACCTCCCACCCAAAGTGCCACAAATAAACCATAAATAAAATTAAACATAAAAAAACATAAAGTCAGGTTCTATTTATGCATTTTGTCCTGTTATATTCAAGTAAGAAATGAAGCTGCCCCAGGATTTGACAAACAAATTGTGAAGCTTTTTCAAACGAAATGCAAAGTTTTCCAAAGGCATACAGTGTATACGGAAAGTATTCATAGAGCTTCACTTTTTCCACATTTTTTAATGTTACAGCTTTATTCTAAAATGGATTACACAAAATTTCTTTACCATTCTACACACAATACCCTAAAATGACAAAGTGAAAAATATTTTTTGAAATTGTTGCAAATTTATTTAAATTAATAAAGATTTATTATGATTTATTTGAGATTTAGTATAGTTTTCAAAATGCATATGATGTAGACTAGCCAAAATGATGCATTTTGATGTTTCAGCCTTATATTTTGAATGTCAGTGGGTTTCTGATTAAAGTGGTAAATCTATTATTGCCAGAGCTCAAATGGATGTTTTTGTTCCTTCAGGCCAAATATTGATGTTATGTAATGAATTTTTATGTAAACGCACACACACATACACACTTGCTGTTTAACATTTAAAAAAACTCGATTAACACAATTAAAACATCATACATTCTTAGTATTTGATCCTGTTTTTTTTCTCTGCCAGTTAAGCTTTTTCAAAGTGACTTTTGGCTGTTTTAAAGGAACAGTGATCTAAATTGACACGAGGAGAATCAATATTGTTGACATCAGTCTTTATATACAGTATTTAATATAACCTTTGCATATTCAGCATTTAGACTGCACCATCTCACTTGACAAATAAGCAGAATTTGAAACAAAACGTTGAATGAAATCAGATGAATGAAATATTAGATTTTCATTGGTGATGCAGCATGGGGGACCTAAAAAAGTCTGTCTTAAAGGGCACCTACAGGATGGTGAAAAATCTTTTTCAAAAAAACTTTTCAAGCTGTTTAAACAGAAATATGTGTAGGTGTAGTATATAGACCATAATATTGGGGTGATATAAACACAATGCTGGACCAATTGGATCGGTTTTCAGACCGCAACGACGTAGGAGTGTCCACCTAATTGATTGACAGCTGTGTATTAACATGTCTCTGTAGTAATGCATATAATCATATCAACAAGTCAGGACTTGCGCAAAGCAACCGGGAATAAAAGATCTGTTTAGTTTGCTAGGATCATCAATCATCTTCAAACGTTATCAAGAGTGAGTTTTAAAGTTTAAAGTGTTTTAAAACACTGCATGTGTGTAATGAAGTTCAATTGTTTACTTCAGCTTTACTTCATCAGCACAGCCGCGAGTCAGAACAGTTATAAAAGAAGACGCTTCAATCCCGGTTTGTGGACGTTAAATCAAAGCAAAACGCATGCTGTGTGTGTGTGTGTGTGTGTGTGTGTGTGTGTGTGTGTGTGTGTGTGTGTGTGTGTGTGTGTGTGTGTGTGTGTGTGTGTGTGCGTGTGCGCGCTTGTGTGTGTGTGTGTGTGCGCGCTTGTGTGCGTGTGTGTGTGTGTGTGTGTGTGTGTGCGTGCGCGCGCTCGTGTGCGTGTGTGTGTGTTTTAACGAATTTGTGTCTGACTCATCGTTGCAACTCAACAACAAATACTGTAGGTCAAATACTCATTGATAAAGTTCTTACTGTAGTATTTCTCATAAACTTTACATGAGATCTTCCATTATATCTGTCTGTAGTCTGAGGCAGCAATTGAGGTACGCTGACAGGGAAAGGAGAACAGTGGGTGGGGAGGAATAGCCTTAAAGGCACATTACCAAAACACAGCAACAAGCTGTAACGAGCTTTAAAACAGAAACTTCAGAAAGCTATAATAAATAATCTTATGGTTTTGAGCTAAAACTTTACAGAGACATTCTGGGAACACAAAAGACTTCTATTAAATCTGGAAAAAGGGGTAACCCAGGAGCCCTTTAAAGAACTAGTTTATGCACAAATGTCTTATGAATTACCCACCCTCATGTTGTTCCAAGCCCCTGAGATCTTTAGTCTTCTTCTGAAGACAACTGAAAATATTTTAGATGAAATGCGAGAGCTCTTTCATCCTCCATATACAACAATGGTCCTGAGATGTTCAAAGTCCATGTTACTTCAACTGTACTCATACAAAACTCAAAGAACACTTTGTGCACCGAATAATCTGTAAAAACTACTTTTTTATCTATGTCTTCTTTCCTGTGTCAGACGAGGGTGCACATTTATTATAGACCATACAATGTAGTGCTCTTAGAGTTTACACTACTCATTAGTTTAAACATGCACCTTGATATGGCGCAGAAGACATAGGCGGACAAAGCTGATTTTATTTATTTATTTTTTTGGGGGGGGGGGGCACACAAAAGTGTACTACATGTAGATTCATATGATTCAATTGAACGACTAAAGTCATACGAGTCGTTTTAACAATGTTTTTGGTTCCTACTCTGGGCTTCCATTACTGTCTATGGAGGATGAGAGCTCCTTGATTTCATCTAAAATATAATTTTTGCTCAGAAGGTGTTTTAAAAAGTAATTCATGACAAGTTTTTTATTTTGGGTGAACTAATCTAAGTTTGTTAAGACCTGATTATGATTTTGTTGCAGTGATTGATGTTTGTTATTGACCTGATGTTTGGTGTGGGTTGTTTAACAGGTGCTACAGGAACACGGCTGTGTGTTTCAGGAGAGACATGGCTGGGAGAGACCTGGATGGTTCAACCGAGATGGAGCTGCTCCGGTGAGATTTCAACAAAAAAACACACTTGTTTCAGTGGTTTATAAGGACTCTATTGGCAAAATATTTTATACTGTAAAAAAAGCTTAATATATGACCTTACCCAACCACTAGCCCAACCCTTACAGGAAACGTGTGGCAAATTCTGAATGTGAAAAGGCTTTGTTGGGTATAATGTTCTCATAAACCACCTCAACTTTGTTATACTTGGGTCATATCCAAGTCATTATACAAATTTGTCCTTGTAAACCTCCAAAATGTATTCACACACACACACACGAATATGTACCCTTACTTCAGCAGTGGAAATTAATAACTCTTTATATTAATTATGACAGAAAATCCACTTCATTATCAGCTGACGGTTTATTGATGTGTCTGTTAAACTTGTGTTTTCTTTGTACTTTTCCTCAGGTTCTAGATTATGATTACTATGGTGCATATAATGTTCCCAAGAACACGGTTTACAAATACAGCAGGATACTAAGCAAAGAGTACACCTTTGACTTTCCTCCACATCATGATGTGGTGAGCAAACACTGTATATGTGTGTGAAATGTATTTGTGGCATTTACTGTTAATGAAGTTCTCACTTTGTTTCCTGTTCCTTTTGTGTACGTATTGTTATTTGTTTTATTTGTTTTTTATTTAGTTTTTTTTTGTTTGTTTTCCAATTGTGTTTTTGCTTTATTGTCTTTGCTTATTATGCTGTTACATTTGATTTAGTTTTATATGTTTTTTTGTTTTGTGTTTTTGTTATTAGTTTTTTTAGTTTGTTTTGTTTACTTTGTTTACTTTTGTTTTTGTGTTTTATAGTTTGCTATTAATTTTTTGTTTTTGTTTGTTTTTGTTGGTTTTGTTTTGTTATTTGTTTTTTGTTTTGTTTTTTGTTTTGTTGTGCTTTTAATGTTTTTTTGTCTTTGCTTATTATGCTGTTATGTTTGTTTTAGTTTTTTAATGTTTTTGTTTTGTTTTTTGTTATTAGTTTTTTTCATCATTTTGTTTGCTTTAGAGTATTTGTGTTTTATAGTTTGCTATTAATTTTGTTTTTGTCTTTTGTTTTGTTTGTTTTTTTGTTTTGTTATTTGTTTTGTTTTGCTTTTTAGGTTTTTTGTCTTCTCTTAAGCATGTTAAATTTCTTTTAGTTTTTTATGTTTTTGTTATGTGTTTTTTTGTTATTAGTTTTTTTGTTTGTGGTTTTGTTTGCTTTAGAGCAGGGCTGTCCAAACTCTGTCCTGAAGGGCCGTTGGCCTGCAGATTTTAGCTCCAACTTGCCTCAACACACCTGCAAAGATGTTTCTAGAAAGCCTTGTAAGAGCTTGATTAGCTAGCCCAGGTGTGTCGGATTGGGGTTGTACTTTGCAGGTCACCGGCCATCCAGGATCAAGTTTGGACATGCCTGCTTTAGAGTTTTAATGTTTTATAGTTTGCTATTCATTTTGTGTTTTTTTTTTTTTTGTTTGTTTTTTTGTTTTTTGTTGTTTGTTTTGTTTTTCTTAGTTTTTTTATTTTGCTTTTTATGTTATTCGTCTTTGCTTATAATGCAGTCACATTTGTTTTAGTTTTTTATGTTTATGTTTTGTGTGTTTTTGTTGTTAGATTTTTGTTTTGTTTTTGTTTGCTCTAGAGTTTTTGTGTCTTATACTTTGCTATTCATTTTGTTGTTGTGTTGTCACATTTTGTTGTGTTTGTGTATGTTTTACTTTGTCTTTTCATTTATGTTTTATGTTACGTTCTTATTCTAATGTTTGTTTTTTTGTGTTTTGTTTTGAAATAAGTTTATAAGCATTTTGTGTTCTTTTGTTTAATCCTAGATTCGAGATGAATGTTTAACATGTAGGAATGCTGTAGCTGTGTTTGATATGTCCTACTTCGGTAAATTTTATCTGTCTGGTCCGGATGCAAAGAAGGCTGCTGATTGGCTGTTTACAGCTGATGTCAACAAAGCTCCAGGTGAGAATCCCTATCAATACTGCCATCTCCCAAAAACCCACAGTCACCACAACTACTTTCTATGGTGGCCCAGTAGTGCACTGTACAACAAAATGTAAAAAGCAAACATAATTCAAAACACAAGTAATCAAGCCAGAGCACAAAGAAAACAGGCCAGAAAACAATGAAATCAATCCAAAATCAAGCTAGAATCACATTAAAACATATACGTTTATTTAAAAACCCATATAAATTAACAACAGCAGTTGTTTTATTTATATATATATATATATATATATATATATATATATATATATATATATATATATATATATATATACACATTTGTCTTGGATTATTATGCTGTTATGTTTGTTTTATTTTATTTTTTTATGTTTTTTTTATCTTTGGCTTTGTTGTTCCCAAAATTCAGTTGTGTTTTGACTTGTTTCCATTGATTCAAAGGTTGCCTTTTTTAATCTGGCAGGGGGCAACAGATGAAAATTAGCCCTTGTGGCTAATTCTGGCTTATTTACAATTTTACTGTTAATTAATGAGCATTGTCCTTGTTAAAAAAAATAAACTGACATTGTATGAGGAAACTTATGTTTGCTTTATTTATATAAAACATTTTATAGTGTTGTGTCCTACAGCAGTGGTTTTGCCTCAGGCGAAAAAGTACATTTAATGATATTGTCACTCATATAAGTTTGCAATAAGGATGACAAAAATGATGTTTTCAAACAAGCAGTATGTTTATTACTACATCTAAATATGTTTATGCTAAAATAATAGCCTAATGTAAAATATAAAATCAAAACAACAGTAGGCCATTTGTAACTGAAAGATTTAAGCCTTTAGCCTTTACATTGGCCATATATTAGCTGCCAATTGGTTGCCAATTTTTTAAAAGTTTCTTATCAGTAGCTGTGATGTCCCTTATCTAATTTTGGGTGTGTGTCAATTCTTTTGCCATGTGCTCAAAAAATGCTCTGGATTTGTTTTGGTATTGGGGATGAGTCATCTGCAAATGTCTTATTAATTCGGCCTCATGCAATTGATAGCAAGATAATGCACTGTGGGCTCTTTGCTTAAAAAAAATGGTATAAAACCATAGGGAAACTATCTAACTATCAATAAAACTATCAGGTAACTATGTTGGTATTTCCTGCATTTAGTATTTCCAGTATTGCTAGCACTGCGACCCGAAATCTTTGGAGCTTCCTCACCTGGGTCCAGTATGCTTGGGTCATTAGTATTAGATGCTGAAGGTTAATCAGTGAGACTTTTTTTTTGTTGAGGATGAAAAAGTTTGTCCATTTTTGGGCCAGCCAGGGAATAAAGTGAAGGCAATATGATCGTTCTCCTGATTGTCCACTGTTTTAAAAATGTAAAATAAATGACGATACCCCCCAAAGAGCTCTCTGAGGCCCCCTTGTCGGCCGGGACCGCCTGTTGGGTCCTACTGCCCTACAGGATCACAGAAGACCTTTATATTTAACCGTTCTTCACATGTATTCACATTTTGTCTAAATACACAGTTTCAGAAGTGTAATCCTCCTGACTGTTGTGCATGTTTCAGGATCCACCGTCTACACCTGCATGTTAAACCAGAGGGGCGGAGTCGAGTCTGACCTCACTGTCAGTCGTCTGGAGCCAAGCCCCTCCCACCTCCCACTGACACCCGAATTTAATGGTAACCAACACACATTATTCATCCCATTCAGGGTCACACTACTGATGCACAAGGCCTTGAAACAGGATGTTAGAGAAGTCATGGGCATCTCATCAGCATTTCAGCAGGATGTGTGGAGTTTATATTCCCCTCACTCTCTCTGTTGTACTGTTTGTATGTGCTCAAGGTGATGCGTATTACCTGGCCATTGGAGGGGGTGTGGCGCAGCATAACTGGAGCCACATTCAATCTGTGCTGCAGGACCAGGGTTTCCGCTGCACACTAATAGACCACACTGAGGACATGGGCATGATCAGCATACAGGGACCCAAGAGGTTAGCACATGCACACACACATATAAATAAGCTCTGTTCAAAACACAGTTATTACTGGGTTGAACAACCTTTTCTCCAATATAAACTTTATTGGATGCACTGATATAAAAATTTTGGTCCATACTTGTAGTAGATAATTTTTAGAAGCCCATAACCGATGCATAAACCGATAAATACAATACTTTACACTTGTTCATTTGCTTGTTTGTTTGCTTTATTTATAGAGCACATTTAAAAACAACAGATGTTGACCAAAGTGCTTTACAAAACGACCAGCATACAAAATCTATACCTATATATAAAAATTTAGCAAAATACATAAAACAGATTTAAATTAATTAATTACAATCAAAGGCAAGAGACAGAAGGTGATTTTTTTACATGAGACTTAAAAGCACCAAGTGAAGAACATGACCGGATCTGTAAAGGCAGACCATTCCACAGTCGGGGGGCTGCAGCAGAAAAAGCCCTGTCACCTCTTGATTTCAACCGCGTTTTGGGGACAACTAGCTGAAACGTGTTTTCGGACCTGATTGGCCTCAATGAAGTGTGCCAGTGAAGAAGCTCAGAGATGTAAATCGGTGCCAGACCATTCAAACTTTTAAAAACAAGTAGCAATAACTTATATTGAATTCTAAATTGGACTGGGAGCCAGTGAAGAGATAATAAAACTGGTGAGATCTTGGTACTGGTAATTATATTGGATTCACTTTATTAAACAAAACAAAGGCACACAAGTGTTTTTTTTATCTGGCCAGTAATGATAACAGTGTATACATACAGTGAGGAAAATAAGTATTGAATGTGTCATGTTTTTTCCTGGGAATAATAGAAATGACACGGAGAAAGTACTAAACAAATGAAAGGTATTTAATACTTTATATAAAAGGCTTTTTTGGTGATGGCAGCTTAAAGACCCCTCTTATATGGAGAATGAAGTCACATGAATCGCTCAGGTGAGAGTTTTTCTCACTTCAACAGAGTGTACAAATCTTGAGTGGGTCTCGTCTATCAAAACTGATCTTTAGTTTGTATTTTATATTGGATTCAATCAGGGGATTGGCTGTCCATTCTACAGCTGGATTTTCTTTCTCTGAAAGCATTTGAGTTTCCTTGGCTGTGTTTTGAATCATTGTCTTTCTAAAATATCCACCCTGGTTTCATCTTTATTATTCTGATAATGTAGATGCTGGACTGAAGCAGCTAATATTAATTTACAATGAGGAAGGGCAGAGGGTTGCTGTAAAGCTACTGAGAGATTTCAGCTGCTGTTTGGGCTTTCTCTGCCTTTCTACACCTCCCTTTCTTCATGTGTTCAATGCTTTTTCCCTGCATCATTTCACTTTATTACCCTTTACTTAATTTGTAAACTAACTAGCTAACTAACTAACTTTTTTTTTTTTTTGTAATTGTTTTTGCATATATTGAATTCTTTAGTTGGTTCCAACATTCAGGGTAAATTTCAAGTCAACAGCACCTTTGAAAATATGTTTTCTGAGAAAAACGGTTACGTGTTCAATACTTATTTTCCATGCTGTATTGCATATTTTGTAAAGTCCTCTCAAAATTATAAATAATAATAAAAATGATCTAAATTTGTATTTGGTGATTTATAACTGATACATTGCATTTTTCAGAGCCAAAAACAAGTGAAAATGATACAATAACATTAAAAATAAGCATTTATTGGCTAATACAGATAAAGCAGCCAACATTTCTACTATGTTCTTTCTCTTATGATCTTTTATAATTTCTAAAAGCAAGATCTAATAAAATGGAGACATGTTAAAAAAACACCTATAGGATTCCAAAAAGGCCCTTATATTTATGTATTTTTTATCATTTATTTGCACAATTTATATTGGTTTATTCCCTGTAATTAGGTCAGTTTTTTCACTCCCAGAGGAAAAAAGTCATTACCTTTTAAAGGTTTAAATTACATTTTTGAGGAACGTAGTAATGTTACAAGTTACATTTTAAATTTGTGTAATTTGATTACATTTCCTAAAGTCAATGTAATTCCGTTACTTAAGTTAAAAATATAGTTTTTGGAAGAAAAAATGCTTCTTTTAAATCACATTTTCCGCTGCAATGTCAGTTAACAAGCATTCGTTTCTAAATTGCTGGAGAACGCAAGCTGAAAAGGTTACCGTGGTTTAAATGATGAGAGTTGTTGCTTTTTCAAATGGAAAAACAGACATTACTTTGATTTCATTGAGTGTAACAAAATATAAAACTAAAATTTTACTGTGAAATGCAGTCTATGTCCAGTCTCTAAAGAGCTTTTGACTGCTTTTAACTTAACCAGCAACTTATTTAAGCATTTGAACAAAGCATTCTATGACAATACTCTTCACCAAGGAGGACACCAGCGTCCAGAAACACAGCCTCCCAACTTAGCCTAAACAGGCTGAATTTAATATTTTGTGCAAGATCGGGATTAAAGGTGTCTTCTGAATGTGAAGAGAAGCATAGCTGCTTATGGGGCCATTCACATATCGTGTCTTTTGTGCGCACATGCATATTGGGAGCGCATATTGCGTATTCGCATTTTCCAGGCATACTCGGTTGTAAACTGCGAGTAACATGACAAAAACCCAACGATCAGCTTCATGTTTTGAAATATGTACATTTCAGGAGACTAACCACCTCAGACAAACACAGAACACCCAAACACTGCTGTGCTTTTGCATACTTTCAAAGTAAAGTATTTAGTAATCTGATTACTTTTAACATGAAGTAAATAGTGATATAATCAGATTACAGTTTTCCAGTAGTAATCAGTAATTTGTAATTTATTATTAAAATAACTTACCTGAGGTTTTAACTAATGCGAAATATTGTGTTTATGATAAAATAATACAAAAAGAATCAATTAAAATATGTATGTGTATATATATATATATATATATATATATATATATACATATATATATATATATACATATATAAATAGCAAAAAAATTATAAGCAAGGTTTCATTGTACTAAATAATACATGATAGATATTCCACATTATTATTCAATTAAAATATAAAACATGAAAATATATAATAATGATAATGAAATCAATAACAATACATCAGCAGTGAAAAAAATATCCCAACAATATTGTTTCTTTTTTCTTATAATTGTAGTTTAGCTTAATTTTAATATGCAATAAGGCAGCATCTTGGAGACTCCTCCAACGGATAATCGTGACAGATTCACCTTTACTTTCTGTGGTGTGGTGCTCTATACAGTAATTACATGCACTACGGGACATCTGAAACCATTTCACATGCTGTCTGCCCTGTAAACTGCAGGAAACAGATGGAAAAGGAGCCATAAATCAAATATTGTCAAAGGGTCGTTCATTATGAAGTTTCTTAGAGGTGTAATAAGGAAAACAATGAAAAGATGTTGGAAAGAATAGTAGAATGAATTCATATATTCCGAGGGGGTTTGCTTAATCTGCATAAATTTAATTAAATTGAAATTAAATGAGCAAAATAACTTTAGCATATTACTGATGTGAGCTAAAATAATTATAATATTTAAGGCAAATTAGTGGCGAGTAAAATTCTCACATATTTTATCACTGTATTGAATACTGAAAAAAAAAAAAAACGTAAGAGATCTCTTGAAATTTTCACCTTCTGTTTATAGCAGCCTGTTATAGCAGCCTATTTCTATAGCGCTTTGTTAGTAAATGCTACAGCTTACTCTAATTATAATAAACTATCTTATAATTATATCAAAACCCAGAAAGAGGTCAGGATTTTGTATTTATATTATATTTATCAGTTATTAATTAACATTTTCTACTGATATTTGATTTTACAAACTGTTTATAAGGCTTCACCTATATATTAGACCTGCTTTACAAAACTTTAAGAATCTTCCCATACATGTCATATTTTACTAAAAATGGGTAAATCGCAGCTTTAATTTGGTATGTCACTTAGTCAGGGTAATTATGGTTCACATGAACAGTTTGAAATATAAGCTTTTCTATAAGTAAATATAAGGTCCAGTAAAATTAAAATGAATGTTTTCTAGATGTTAGTATCGGTGTTTTAGCCTTCAATGATATCTATTAGCTAGTGTGGTACAAAACAATGACAAAACTTGCATTTAGAAGATATAAAACTGATATAAACATGTAAATCTTGCAGTTTGTCACCTAAATACATCAACCTTTTTTTACGTCACCTCATACTTCAATTTCTCATCAAATCTTGACCAATCAAATGCTCTCTGGTATCTGACATGCCCCGCCCCCTTCAAGATGCTTTTTATTTGCTATTTATTTGATGAGCTTGAGTACAACTGCTCTCACTGGCAGAGCAGTGATAAGACAAAATGCTATTGGCTGTTATTTTTAAGGGAAGGAGCTACACTGTCCTGCCCTCTCTTTGTTTTACTGTTGAAATTACATCAGACATCAAATAAAAGATGCACATTTCAAAGACCTTCATGGCACTTTAAGTTGGAATTTCTCCAAAAGGTGATATTCTGAGTTTATAATTAAGCAAATATTTGACCTGGCCTAACTCAGGTAATATTAAACATATGAAGGTTATGACCCGTAGTCAGCCGGGTGAAAGGGGTAGTTCTTTTTTCTACAAAAGTGGACCTTTTTGCAGTGATTTGCCTCATTTTATTTAATTATTAGATTTAAATAATGCATTTTTATTTTCTAAATATTTAAATTAAATATATTTTCTAAAGATTTAGAATAGCGAAATATGAAAATATAATTTTTTTTATTAAAAACTGTAGTCTAAAAACTATTGCTATTTATTAATCAACCTTCCAGAATTTGGCCATTTCAGTCAACCAAATTATATAATAATAATAATAATAATAATAATAATAATAATAATAATAATAGTAATAATAATAATTTAGAGCTTCACAATTTTTCTAGCCTCTTTTATAAAATGAAGAAAGTACATTTAAAAATTAATGGATAACAACAATAGCCAAAAATAAAGTTCAAATTAGCTTTAATATGGG